CCCCAAAACCCCAAAACCCCAAAACCCCAAAACCCCAAAACCCCGTTCTACTAATTTTTTATAGAATAAATTCCAAAATCTAAAAGCCCATGCTTCGATCAACAAAGGACCCAGATGTCTTCCTAGACGCCCTGATCATGAAGAACATAGCTGAACTGGCGATGGAGAAGGTAGGTTTTGGGGAATTACTCTGTAGAATTTTACTACAGCAGACAAAGCTTCCTTAGTCACACTGTGAGCGATAGTCAAGAAATTCTTAGCCAAGATCATTGGGAGCACTAAGAATTATACGGAACTTAACTGCAGGACTGATTCCAATGTGATAGATGCACTTTCAGGTATCCTAGAGACCATGAAGATTCCTCAGAAACAGATTATTAAGCATATACAGGATAGGCCTTTTAGTAAAGGGTGCTGGAAAAGTGGGGTTGTTGATAAAATGCTCACGATTCAGCAAGATAAAGCAAATAAAGAGATCAGGTGAGTTTTTAGAGGGTTGAATTATGTTTGAAACATGAATATAGTAAATATGGAGGTGTTGGCGGCATTAGCAGTGATTATAAGCAAACTCTTTACCAAGATCCTGACCACCTTGAGGGACCAGTAGCTGTTGTGCCTGAAGAAATCAAAAATTTCAAAGGATTTGCATCAATTCCCCCATTTTTACGCATTTTTCCATCCAAATTAGCCTTACAAAACATGAACAAAAATGAGTACAAAGAAAAGGAAGAAAAATCTTCACTCCTCAAAATCAAAAACAAGCGCGAAATCGAGGACAAACTCATCGAAGTCTCACTCATAAACGCCCCTCAACCCACCTCCTCACCCACACCCCCTATTCCCCACCCCCAGGAGGCCCTCTCCCCTCCAGACCCCACTCAGCCTCCCCAACCCTCCCTCTCCAGCCCCCCAAACCCCTCAAGCCCCTCCAAAGACACCCTCCCCGCTCCCCACCAATCTCTTCCTCCTTCAGTACCCCAAACTCTCCAAGAAGAGACCTCCCAGCTCAAGCTTAAGAAGAGAGCAGCCAAAGGCGTCGCCAAAATCAAGGAAGCAGAAAGCCTGTTCTGTTAAACAGACAATCTCAACGTGAGGATTTTTATTGGGTTTTATAGTAATACAATCGGGATTTTAGAGATTGGGGTTTTGGGGTTTTGGGGTTTTGGGGTTTTGGGG